TATATATATATATACTTCAGGCCTTTTCAACAGCATAACACCTCCTCTCCCCCTCAAACTTCTCCTCCTAAACATTATCAGTATGGTGAGATACACATCTATGTGACTCTTTTTACCTTCATAAAGTTTTACATGTTTGTCATTATTGTCTGAAAATGAAATTGTTAAAACTTAACATTTCTTGAACATAACTGATTTTCTTTCAAATAATTCATATATATAAACTTGACTTCACCCTGCTTGAATTTTATTTGTTTGAAGTTTTGTTGAAGCTAGTGCTGAGATGACCAAGATTTTTACCTATGAAGTGGGTTCTCTTTTTTAGACACCATGCATTTCAGTTGTATCTCTCTTTGACGGAAACCTTGATTTAGGCAATTTAGCAGATTTGACCATTCTTGTGCTGCCAATAGCCATGTAAACTATACACACTTTGTGTCTGGCGGCAGATAAACAGGTAGTCAAAGAATATGAAGAGGAATAGTTTTCTCAATCCAAAATTGGTATGGATTTCAGTGTAAGCTGCTGCATACTCTGTGTTTACCCTTTGACATATGGAACTCACCCCTCAGCTTGCAGTTTTGTAAAAAATATTGCTGTCAACCCAAGACTTCTGTAAGGATCAGGGGACCAGGGCATGAAGTATTTTAAGTAGTTTGGTTGTGACAGAAAAGGGGGAGTCTATTCTCCTGTAATGGGTTTACTGCCATTGGCTCTACCTTTACAACATCAGAAAAATGACCTCTTAGTTTGTTGAGGCTTTTCCTGTTATTTTATTAGAAATGTTATATATTACTGCCAGTTTTTTCTACTGTACTCATGTAGTAAAAATTTGAAGTTATTCCAAATCTACTTATATTACAGTAGGGCCTACTTTATCTTTCATTCTTCCACCAGATGTGATTACTTTGTTTTGTGTTTTTTCTCTATTCTTGATCAGGTCCAAGTCCTCTACCTGCGTACAAGTTGCCTGGGTCTAGTAGTGGTCTCGGCAGTGGACGATCTAAGCGAAAGAGCTCCATCCCATGCAAGTCTGTTGCTGCCTCCAGCTCGTCAGCTCTCGAAGAGGGGGAATCCGTCCTGGATGAGATGGATTGCTCCGTTCTGAAATCTGTGGCAAGACCGGATACATATCAGCCTGATTTAGGCCATATTGGATTCTTGCAATCTGGGTCTCCTCAAGAAGTGCATGATGTGATTTCTCAGGAGTCTAACTTCCAGGACAAGAATTTTTACCCATATAGTACTTTGGGTAGACCCTTAGCTCCGGAAGTTCAACTCAGTAGAGAAAAAGTGAAACATTTCAGTGATAATCCGAACAATTTTAATTTTTTGGATCAAAATTTTCAGTACAGGAAAGACATAAAAAAGCATGTTTTGATTCGTGCTGGGATAAAACCATACCAGTGTGATTTCTGTGGTGAAAAATTTAACCGTTCAGATTACTTAAGGGAACACACTTTGCTACACACAGGAGAAAAGCCATACAAGTGTGATTTGTGTGGGGCAAAATTTATCAGATCGAGTCACTTGAAGAGACATAAATTGATACACACAGGAGAAAAGCCTCACATTTGTGGTTTGTGCGATGCAAGGTTTAACCAAGAAAGTAGCTTAAAACGACACATACTCATACACACAGGTGAAAAACCTTACAAATGTGACGTATGTGAGGCGAGGTTTAATCAGGCAAGTAGCTTGAAGCAACACACTTTGTTGCACACTGGGGAAAAGCCTTACAAGTGTGATGTGTGTGATGAAAGATTCAAGTCCAGGAGAAACTTGAAACAGCATCTGAAGATAACGCACATCGATCCTCTTGAATTTCAAAAGAGGAAGTCATTGCAGTTGTGACATGTTTTTAGCAACACATTCAGCTGGGTATTGATGTGAGATTGCTTCAACGCAAGAGAGAATTCTGTTACCCGTGTACAGTTCAGGTCCATTTATGATTATAATTGTATCATTAGGGTCTGTAAAGAGGCAAATTGAAAAAACCCCACACAGACTTACGCACAGGGTTCACGTATAATATTGATCTTCAAGGGAAAGGGAAGCATCATGGACAACCTTTTCTTACTCAGCCGTAATATTTTCCCTTTGTTTTTCTTCATGTTTTTTAGAATGGGGAGGCGGAGGGGGGTTCCCATGTTTTCTTGCCATTTTGTGCATACTCACTATTGTCATAGCTTTAGAATAAGAAGTGAGCCTGGAATCCAGGTTCAATTTTTTTTTTAGGGCCTAAAAAACAGAAAAAATAACTAAGGGACCGGGGGAGGTTTGATATTGAAATTAACATGAAATCAGAGTATTTAACCCTCTCCGTACGTCGTGTTTTACTATCGTATCCATACGACGTAGGCAACTCTATGCCACCACTTTTCAAAAAGGAAATTTACTCGTTAATCCGATCCGTATGCTTTGCATAGCAGTCTGTCAAATTAATTTTTTGAAAAATACTGAAAGTTTCAAAGAGATCTTTGCACTAGAACTATTGTAAAATACAACCCCAGGGGTACAAAATGACCCCAGGGCGTACGGATAGGGTTAATATAAAGATACCACTTGTATGACTGTATACCGTATTCCTTCAAATACCGTTGGAGTTATGTTCCAGCACCTCCAACAATAAGGGAAAATCTGCGATATCTTTATTTCACGTATATTAATTTTGCTTTTTTACAAACCCACCCTGCATTCTTAAAAGTCCCTCCTAGACTCTTTTAAATACTTTCTTCACTTGAAGTATGAGATTAACTTTTCTTACACTTGAAATGGGAGAGAACAACTGTATTGAAAATACATGGCATTTGATTTGTATGCATTTGTTGGTAATTTTACGAACATGATGGTCAGGTCTCACCATTGAAGATACTAAAACTTTGATGATAGCATTGAATCAGCTGTGCAGTACTCAATTATGAAAATGATGAAATAGTGTACAGCATGGCAGAGAATATTACATCACATCTCTTCTGAAGGCACTGCTTAACACTTTGGAGTCACTTTGCGCAATACTCTTAATGCGCCGGTGAAAATTATCCGTTCCGGTCACCTGGTGCTCATCTGCACCAGGACGGAGAAGTCCGTTGCAGTCGCTCTCCTTGCTGGGTGACTGCAAAGTGTTAATCAAGTAGTGCGGTATTGTCAGATAAAAATAAAGTGCTGGTGTTATGAGTGCATGAAATGTGAGGTGCAGTATGGCGAGGGAATACTGGATATATAATAGTATATATGTGCACAATTGCTGTATCAGGAGGCCTTCTAAATCTTAATGTTATACATGAAATTAGATTGACTTATTTCAGCACACCTTGATATCATTTTACCTTCAGCTTAATAAAACAATGGCAACAAAAAAACTGTAACAACACCAAAATACCAGTGTCCTTTTTGTCTCTTGATAGTGTCTTATTTAGATATGAATTCTTCTCACTGTAATGTAACAAAAAAAAATAATTTTTGAAAATCAACATCATCATCATGAAGTGCAAAACATGAATCGGAATTTTGGAGCAGTGTTACGATCTGTTCCTACTTGTGTAGTGTCGTGTAGGCTCATTCATGCCTAATGTCTTCTTCTGTTCACTTTGGCTTGATTTTATGGGCCAGTGGATGTGTTTTACAACCAGATATGTGATTATTATGACTATGTTTTATTTATAAAATCAAGTACCATGCATCTTTTCCTTTGTAAAAAAACACCTTTTTCTGTTCACTGTAATATGAAGGCATAGACATTGGAATGAGGCTCCTGATTACAGTGGGTTACCACTATGTAAACATGCTGCAGCAACTGTCATTACTATGTTGTTAGAGTGTGTTGTGTAATGCAAGCCCCAAGAAATATGATTAGCTGCCATACCTGCTCATATCATAGAAGTAAAGGTAATTTTAGATCTGTTGTATGCATGGGGGTTGCTTCATTCAGCCCAAGTTTTCTGTTATTTGAAAAACACTCTGTATTTTATGGAAATCACAGCAATTGTAACCAAAATTTATATTTTTCATTTTCTACTGCAAATTACTCTTTGCTATGTCTTCAGTCTATTCATCTCCCCCCTCCCTCCTGTGGCGTGGCTCAAGGCTCAATGTTTTTTTAACTGTGGTCCAACATTTTTCAGCTTTTGTTCAAATGCTTTTACATGTACTTTATACTCATTGGTTGCTGCCTCGCCTTACATCAGCCGACATCTGTGCTGTGTCATTAGTTTAGTATCAGTATTCTTTGTTACCATATCTTCTTAGTGAGTACCATTTGCCCATTTCTTTTCTTTGCTGCCGATTACACTAGACATGACTTTGGACAGGGTAGGTCAATACCGGGTCAGCTCATTGGGTGTGGTTGACTGGGGTTCAAAGTTCTTGATGGGGGCTTTCTTGAGTCTAGGTTGTTGTGGGGAGTTTTCATGAACCAACTTTGCTTAGTCCTGCAGGAGATAAACATTAGATTTAGAAGTCCTACTGGTCATTGCAATGTCCTCCTTTTGATGATTCCTCTATTATAATTATTGCTCTGTTTCTGTCTTTTTATCTCCGGCTGCAGAGCACCTTAAATTGCGCACTCGGTTATATTATATGTCCTTGGTCTGAGTTGATATTGATTCTGAGTTTCTGTTTCTGCATACCCCAAATGGGTTAAGTAAGCAAAGGGGTACTGCAACTCTATCTTAATCTATGCATGGTGTAATGTTGTACACAGAATAATACATTTCTTCTGCTATCTTGGGGGGGGGGAAGGGGATAATTGTCAGAGACTGAGAGATGGAGGAACAAAAGATGAAGTTCTGAAATTAAGTCTGGCATCAGAAAGGCTCATGCTGCTTTCACATCTTTGAACCAGATTTGGAGGAACAGGGATATCTCGCTCCGATACAAAACTGGAGATTTTTTCAGTTCTTCTTGTTAAGTCAGTCTTGTCTTGTGTGGATGTAGGGCATGGAACACAGCTGCTCTTCTTAGATGCATATCGGTAATTCTACCAGTACTGTTTACTAAAAGCAACATTCACATTCAAAATTTAAAGTCAAGTCTTAATGCTTTTCTACAGCAGGTCATGTAATAAATGTCTCATTGGCCACACCTGACAATTGTAGACCTTTGATAATTAGGCTTGACACAGTTACTGCTGAAATTTTGCTTTTCAAGTTGGTGAGGATTGTTAACGTACACAATCACTGACAACAATAACGAAGTATTCAGATGAAATCAAACTGATTTGTTCTTGTACTCATGTTTTATTTACCAGAAGACACAAAACCACTTGAAAGATTTTGACTAAAGGACAACACTGTTCAAGAAAATTACATATAATGGTGAGGAACATAACAGGAAAGATGTCAGAAAATTTGAGTCACCATCATTAGTTTCTTCATCAAAATCAAAGTACACATACATAGGTGATAGATGTCATCACTTTATAAAAATATAAACATTGAAAAATCTGAAGAGGCTAACAAATGTCAAAATTTCAAATCATGAGGAAGGCAACACTTTTTGGATAAATGATGAGGAATGTTACTGGACAAACAAGGCATACAATATTCCACTTGAACTTCTTTGTATCAAACTTAAAATAATGCAGTATTTCTGTTCAAGAAAGTACCGTCATTTGTGAAGCAAATACAGGTAATGGACATATCAATTTTGAAAAGAAGAAACTAGAACTGATGAAAAAGAGCTATTGAAAATCATAAGTGAGGATTGTTAAAATCAGGACTGACAAATAGACATAGGCCTACTGGTCTCCGCTGCCTTTTGAGTTTGAGTGACAGAAGTTGTGAGATATTTTACTGAGTGGAGAGTGGATGTGACAAAATTCTTTGACATATCTTCTGACTAATAATGTCCAATGGTATATTGACAAAGGTCAAAGAAATAAAGTGTTGCAAATAGAGAGATGAATGGTTTTTTCGACCTCTTGCATTTGTAATAATAATATCTCCCAGAACTCAATAAGAACAAGAAAATTGGCTAAAAAAAGAGCCCCAAATATAATTGCGAAAATTTTGCTGCAAAAAATATAATTTAAATCTTAATTGATTTTTACCCTTCGTGTTTTTAAGCCCACTACCCGTCTACTCCACTTTCATATATATCCTTGCAAAATAAAAATCAATAGAGTCCACTGTCAAGAAGAATGTTCATGATCGTACTGCGAGTTAATTTTCCTGATATTTCATTCCAGAGGTTGACAATATAAGCCCGAAATACTGGCATCATTGATACTCTAAAACAATAAGAATAAGAAGGGAAACATAAGCTTTCAATGCCTCCGCACTGTCTGCACTTGTTTGTGTCTAAGACATGGACTTTGCAGCAAACCAGTAAGTTAGAATTATAACCTGATCACCAAAAAAAAATAGTTCAAAACTTTATTTCAAGAAGCAAGAAATACAAAAATATGGAGGTACTGGTTTGGACATCTGAAAAGAGTCATTTCAATGTCAATATAATAGAGAAACTCGTAAAATGTTAAATACTTAAGACTAAAATAGGGGTGTCAGTTTGGTTCAAATGAATCATTTGGGTAGTATAATAAGATTTTGGTCTTACAAAGATGGATGTCACCTTTCTTCTCTTCTGTAACATTAATTGATGTCAGACCGGTATGGACACTATGCTCAAGTTTTTTAAATTTGCGAAGCTGTGATTCTTCCATTTGTCAATATAATCTCTTTCAAGACATGGAGATCCATGGCGCATCCCTTGCAGGAACAAGACAGGTTGCGGCACTGAAGCCCTGGCCACCGTGGCTCAAAATGGAGTAGACTAGTCTTGTGTTGGGTAAAGGCTGAAGGTCCGCCAGGTCAAATCTTAAAATATCAGAGGACTTAATGAAAATGAAGCTCCTTTTGAAATGCTGACAACACCTTTCGTCAGAGTCTTTCACCATGTTCCCAACAGCAAACTAGTACATGTACAACTGCCAGGCGTCTTGTATTACCACTCTCCTGCACTTTATACTTTATGGCTCGGGTCACCGCTGACTTAACTACAGCAGACTCGCCATTAAATTGATTTTTGCATGACACGAGCCTAAAAAATGTTGATGGACATTGGTTTACTACCCTGTTTTGCAGCAGGTAAAATGACCCTTTGCTCTTGTATTGAGCCATGCATCCATCTGATGATTCTAGTGTTTTGATGACATTGAGACCTCTCCCCTTGAAAATGACTGTGTGCGTTGCATAGTCGTGACAGTCCTGACACTTGTAATAGCACACCACTGGATGGAGGGCGACTTGCTGATAATTCCAGTGGGCTGACTGAACCTCATCTTGGCAGGCTGTCGTGAAATTTTCAGCTAAATTGTAGACCATCATGAGCTCTCCGGGTTGCAGCTCTCTTTTCATCTTGTTGAATACACAATATTGCCTCCTGG